GCTTGTTCTGGATTTAGCAACCTTTTTTTTTTTTTTTTCTTTTTCTGGTTACTGAAGTCGGTCGTGCTTGCCACCCAGGGCTGAGTGACCACAAAGTAGCCTGATCTTATCCTTCACGAGGAATTCCTCACAGCTCCATAATCAGGTGGTCAAGTGATGTCTCCTGGCTCAGCCTCCCAGGTAGCTCGTGATTGATGTTCATTACAGGACAATCCCGCACCCACCAACCGCCCGCTTAATTTTTTGGAATATTTTTTCAGTAGGAAACCAGTAATGGTCTTACATCCTCACAATTGTTGGTCCAAGGCTTAGGTTCAAAACTCCCAGGCCTCCAGGTGATTTCGGCCCACCCTCGGCCTTCGCAAAGGTGCGTGATTACAGGGCATGAGCCATCACAACGTTTTTTCCGGCTCTCCGATATTTTAGTCATAAGCCTTGAGATAACCACAATTATGATTAAAAAGAAAAAAAGAAAATTTAGAAACCAAAATCTCTCATGAATACAGAGTGCCAATAAAAATCTTTTTTTTTTTGTTGAAGACAGATCCAAGTCATCACCTGATTGCTATCCAGCAGGGAGTGCAGTGGCGGAAGGGGGAACTTCTCACTCACTGCAAGCTCCGGACCTGCCCGGGTTGCGCGCCTATTTCTCCTGGCCTCAGCTCCTAAACTGGTACTACAGGCTGTCCCTCCCGCACTGTCGCCTTGTGAATGTTTTTCCGGGCTTGTATACGTGAAAGATTTGTATTTAGCAGTACTGGAGGGTATTCACCGAGATTAGCCAGGAATAAGGTCTCCTACATCTCCTGATCCTGGTCGATGGGACCGCCTCTGTCTGTAGGGCCGCCCGTAACAAGTCCTCGGGATCCTAACATGTGGGTCTTGAAGCCACTGCGCCCAGGCCACAACAAAAAAATCTTTTTACAATTAATTGTACATTGGATTGGTAAGATATGGGATATTCCTTTATTTTATTAGAAAGCCACCGCCTGTGGAATAAGTTAGAAAGTATTCCTTATTTTCTTCTTCCCTGGAAGAGTCTATGTAAATTAATACTGTTTGTTTCTTAAACATTTGGGTGACAATTATTTTGATGAAATGCATTAGAACTAGTTTTGTGGACCATGTTTTGGAAAACAATGGTCTAGAGCATGACTGAAATATGAAATAGTGAATTCCTGTCTGTGTGAATGCTCTTGTTTTTATTCATTTCCTTCCTTTATGCAGCACTGGCCCCCTCACCTTTTCCCTTGCAGCTGTTGGGGGCTCAGCTAAGTGACCACACAGGAGAGCAGTGAGGCCATTTGAGGCCTGAGCTTGGTCCTCAGGACTCGACTCTCTCTCCCTACCATCAAGCAGCCCGCCCCAGTCCTGCCAGCCATCTCCACACTCCTCTGACAGAATGAATGCCCTCGATGGTGTTCCCTTCAAGTTGCCCAAGGGCTTTGTGATAGGCACAGAGCCTCTTCCTGGGCCAGAACTCAGCGTCCCGCCCTGCGGGGAGCTTCTGCTGGGTTCTATGGTAAGTGTGTCTCTGTGTTTTTGTCTTCTAGGTCTGTGGGTCTGAGGCTGAGTCCATGGGGCCTTGTTCCTTGAATTTAAAGGACAGCTAGCCCTGACCAACATGGTGAAACCCCGTCTCTACTAAAAATACAAAAAATTAGCTGGGTGTGGCAATGTGTGCCTGTAATCCCAGCTACTTGGGAGGTGGAGGCATGAGAATCGCTTGAACCCAGGAGGTGGAGGTTGCAGTGACCTGAGATCGTGCCACTGCACTCCAGCCTGGTGACAGAATGAGACTCCGTCTCAAAAACAAATTCAGCACTCTTTTTGGGCCACCGACCTTGTATCCAGCCCCACTGCTTGGCCTGGGCACACCTACCAACTCCACCATTGTAACGTCAGAATGGTACACACTATTTCTGTAAAGTGACATCTTTCAGATACTTAATGGCTTTTCGCATATGCATACCCTTGATGGCCTGGGCAGTTGCACGAGTGTTCTTAAAGTGACCATGAAAATTTGAACCTCTCGATTTGCACGATTTTGTGGGGTTCTCCAGGTCAAATGAATAGTGAACCATTTTCACAGATTACCTCAGGCCTCTTAGGGAAAGAGCTGTTTTTGTTTTTTTCAGAGTTTCCCTCTGTTGCCCAGGCTGGATGGAGTGCAGTGGTGCAATCTCAGCTCATTGCAACCTCCTCTTCTAGGGCTCAAGCGATCCTCCCACCTCAGCCTCCCAAGTAACTAGGACTATAGGCATATGCCACCATGCTTGGCTAATTTTTTATATTTCTTTGTAGAGATGAGATTTCACACCATGTTGCCCGGGCTGGTCTTGAACTCCCGGGCTCAAGTGATCCTCCCACCTTTGCCACCCTAAGAGCTGCAATTACAAGCATGAGCCACTGTGCCCGACCTGCTTTTGTTTTTTGAGACAGGGCCTACTGTGCTGGGCTCAGGTGAAAGCTTCTTTGCTAAGAATAAGTTTTATTGGAGAAAATTTTTAAGTAGTTTTTGCTCAACTACATACTGAATGGCAAAGGGATTTAGATGTTGGATTTAATTACATTTCATTCTATTAACGAATTCATCACTTTGTCATTTATGCCAGTTTGCCATTAAACTGTTACTGGTATCCATCGACCACAGTGTTAGCTATAAAACCCAGGGTAGAGTGGGCTGTGATGGAAGCCCGGGGCTCAGAATCTGACGCTGTCCAGGCCTAGAGAGTCTCTGGCTGAACAGGGTCCCCCAGGCCAGGGGTTAGTGTTGTGACCCCGGGGTCCTGGTTTGCTCCGGGCTTTACGTCGCCTTCTTTCCACAGCACGACTTCAGCCTGGAGAGGAGGGCACTCTTCTGGGTGGAGGCCGCCGGCCAGGGACCCAGCCCGTACCAGTGCGGTGACCCGGGGACAGCGTCGGCCCCTCCAGCCTGGCTCCTGCTAGTCAGCCCCGAACATGGGCTGGCGCCTGCCACAATCAGAGACCAGGAGGCCGGACACCAGGAAAGGCTGGAGGAGGAGGGTGAGGACGAGGCAGAAGCCTCTTCTGGCAGCGAGGAAGAGCCGGGCCCACGCAGCCTCCAACCGGGCTCTCCGGCCAGCCCCGGCCCCGGCCGTCGCCTGTGCTCACTGGACGTGCTGCGCGGCGTGCGGTCGGAGCTGGCGGGGGCAAGGCGGCGACTCTCCGAGGGGAAGCTGGCCGCCCGGCCCCGCGCCCTCCTGCACGGCCTCCGCGGCCGCCGCGCGCTGAGCCTGTGCCCCAGCCCCGCGCCGTCCCCCAGGTCCGCGTCACCCCCGGGGTCCGCGCCCCAGTCCCCCGCAGCCCCCGCGTCGCCCCCGCGGCCCTCCACGGCCGGCGCCATCCCCCAGCTACGGAGCCACAAGCCCACGGTCGCGGTAAGGATTCTGCCCGTCCCTCCAATGCCGCCGCTCAGCAGCCCAGGCCCGCAGCCTCGGTCCCCTACCCCGCGCGCTCCTGTGTCCTCCCTTGACCTGCTTCCACCTGGGCCTGTCCAGTGTTGTCCTCCTGCGGCCCTTTGCCTAGAATAGTCCCTGTTCAGAAGTCCCCATTCCCCGCATTTCCCACTGTGCCTGCCTTGCTTTTTTAGGGCGCAGGTCATAGTGGTTTTAATTATGCAGAAACTGTCTGTCTCTTCCAACAGAAGAGCTCTTTTAGGGCAGGGACTGGATCGCATTGATTTTTGTTTCCAGAGCACCCAGCTGCCGACTTGACCCATAGGGGGCGCCCAGTGGATGTCTGTTGAATTGATGAACACAACGCAAATCTAGGGCTTCCCACTGGGTGAGGTTCGCTGTAGGCTGGGGAAGCTGGAGGCTCAATCAAGGAATATTCAAGGCACAGTTACTTCCTGCCAGACACTGGGTTTGGGAGTGTCAAAACCACAGAACATGGAGAGTTGGCTAAGAGGGTGTGGGACCAGGCCCTGCACTGTACAGCGGAATCAGGTGTTGAGGGAGAGTCAGGGCTGCTGCAGGCTGAGAAGGTTTCAGGACGGAGGAAGTGAACCCTGAAGAGCAGGGAGAAGTGACCCTACAGTGAAACCACAGAAGCTTAAGCCTCAGGCTCCTCCCTTTGTCTCTTCCAAGGCCTTGTGCCCAATTTTGTGTTCATAATTGTGTGTTCTTTTTCTCTGAGGTTGCTTCCAAATGATATAAGTATCAGACTCCACCAAACATGGGGTGGGTCAGGATTGGCAGCAGAAGGTGGCAGCGAGGCACAGCTTTCTGCCCCCCAGCAGCCCCCCAGTAAGGCCAGGAGATGCTGCAGAATAAGACCAAGGTAGAATTCAATCTGAAAGAGACCTGAGGTCTGGTTTCTTACATGCACTGGCGTGTGACCTTAGGCAAGTCACTGAACCACCCCTTCTCTACCTGCACAGTGAGCCAACAACCCTTCACCCCGTTGTTTAGAGCATACATAGTAGAGAAGAGGCCCTGTATTCGCGATGAGCCACGCCCACATCCAAGACCAGATGCTGATGCCAGGATGGCTCTTCCCTGGCCAAGATGAATTTAATTCTCACAACAACCCTGTGGGGGTGGGACAGTATTCTGTAGATGATGGAAATGAGGCACAGAGTGGCAAAGAATCTTTTTCAAGGACACAAAAGTAGACTCAGCTCCTAAACTTTGATGTTCTCCACTCTGGAGGTAATAAAGGGTAGATCCTAGGGTGAGGTCGTGGCAGGCAGAGCCCTGAGAAGATGTGGATGGGTGGAGAATTCATGTGTGTTACATATACACTCCACCCTAGGAGCCAGGCAGCGGCTGGGTTTTCCTTGGGAGGAGGGGACAGGATGAAACGTTCAGGGCTGGCAGAGAGGTACCTCCTCATGGAAGAAGGGTTGAGATGACGCCGGCCAAACCAATTGAAATGCCTTCAAGTCACCCTCCTTAATCCAAGGTCTGTTTCAGTTTCTCCAACACCACAACCGAAGGGCCGGTGTGCCCAGTTCCTCCCCTGCTCCATGCCCTGCCAAACCCCAGCCCAACCAAACTCAAGAAGGAACTCAAGAAGGAGGGCCTGGTTGGGAAGACCTACCCCTGCTCCTCCCTCAACAAGGTGTGGGGCAAAAAACCTGAGTAGGGTTGAGGTGCCAAGCGTGTGTTGCTTAATCAGGTCATTAATGTTTCTGAACCTTGATTTCAATGTCTGTAAAATGGGATAGTAGAATAGACCTCATATTTCTTTCACTAGTCACTTTCCTGACTTTTTTTTTTTTTGAGACAGAGTTCCACTCTTATTGCCCAGGCTGGAGTGCAATGGTGCGATCTCTGCTCACTGCAACCTCTGCCTCCTGGGTTCAAGCAATTCTCCTGCCTTCTGCCCCAATCAAGTAGCTGGGATTCTAGGCAGGTACCACCATGCCCAGCTAATTTTGTATTTTTTAGTAGAGACAGGGTTTCACCATGTTGGTTGGGCTGGTCTCGAACTCCTCACCTCAGGTGATCCACCTGCCTTGGCCTCCCAAAGTGTTGGGATTAGAGCCATGAGCCACCACGCCCAGCCCCTCACATTGTCTTATTTAAGCCTCGTAATAGTTCCATGAAGTAGCTTAGGGATTGCCCTCATTTTTCATATGAGTATACTGAGTAAGCATTAGAGAGCTGGGGTCTGCAGGACTCTAAGCCCTCCATAATATTAGGCCCTACACTCTGTACAGAAGGTGGTACATAAAGGCATTTTTAAAAATGTCCAGCCCAACTGGGTGTCACTTCCTGTGGTAACTGACATGTCCAATCTGTCTATATTTCAGTCCCTCAGCCCGTACACTTGTCTGCCACCTCCTGGGGGGGCACCCCAGCCTCTCAACCCCTACAAGTCACACCCTGATACTGCGGCTGACCTGCTATCCGCCCTGAGCCAGGAGGAGCAAGACCTCATTGGGCCAGTGGTCGCCCTGGGATATCCCCTGCGAAGGGCCATCATAGCTCTGCAGAAGACAGGGAGGCAGAGCCTGAGCCAGGTGAGTTGGGGGGCCCAGAGCTGATGGGCTGTGATGCTGGAGCCAGGTGAGTGGCCACATGGTTTTCACCTTTTGAACTGTGGCATAGGCCCAACAACAGCATCAGCCAACCCCAAAGATCTGGAGCATCTACGGCCCCTCAGGGTTGTCCTAACTGGGGCTGAGATGGTCAGGCCTTTATACCCCTGCCTCAATCAGTCATTGCATGTGGGAAGGGGATGACTGAGGTAAGTGGATCTCTGCTGTTAAGGTAATCCCTGAAGGGGCAGACAACTGAAGAGTGTCTCCCAGCTCTCCCAGCATCTAGGGCAGTAAGTCCTGCAGTGAAAGGGTATGTGGATGGAACATCACAGAGTCTACCACGCCCAGGTTCTACTCACCCACGTTCTATTCTTCTAATAGAATTCACTCTATTGGAAGTATGGCGGAGACTCATGATGACACTCCAAGGACAGCACTCTGAGCCATGCTAATATTTGGAAGCAGGTCTTGACCCCTAATATAAGCCAAGAATATAAGAACACCTGCAGAGGAGTGAGGGCCCCCAAAGTGCTTAAAAAGAGGTGCTAGTCACAAGATACCTGGGAGAAGAAGTGGTATGAGTGTTATAGGGGTGTTTCTGTCATCTATTTTTGTGTAACAAACTACCCCAAAACTTAGTGACTCGAAACAACCATTTATTTGCTCATGATTCTCTGGATTGGCAGTTTTAAGGTGGACTCAGCTAGGGGGTTCTTCTGCTCATCTCACCTGAAGTCTCATGTGGCTACAGTTTGGTGACTTACTTGGGGCTGAATGATCTAAGATGGCCTCATTCACCGTACAGTGGGTGGTGATACTTGTCAGTTGGGCCACATATCTCCAGCAAGCCACCCTACTTGGTTCCAAGAGTAAGGCCTCTTGAGGCCTAGGCTGAAATTGTACCTAGTCAGTTCTGCCTCATTCTATTGGTCAAAGCACATCACTGACCACTCCAAACTTAAACAAGGGAAAAACAGACTCCATCTCTTGGTGGGAGAGGCTACAAAAAATTTTATGATCATTCTCAATCTACCACAAGGAGGTTCTAGTGATCAAGAAAGGCTTCATGGAGATACCAAGCATTGAGTGGGACTTCAAGGATGGATAAGATCTGACTCTGAAGGAAGGAGAAGGGGTGATATTCCAGGAGGGAAGGACAGTGTGAATAAAGGAGTGGAGGTGGGAGGGAAGTGTTTGGGAGGCTCTGATCTGACCAGTCTTGTTGGAGGAGAGGGTGCATGAGGCAGGCTGGTAGGAGATGAGACAAAGAGAATTGGGGGTAGATTTAGGGGTCTTGAAGGCTGGCCTGAGAATTTGATAAATGACCCAATAGCCAAAAGGAGGCATGGAAGGATTGTAAGTAGGGTCAGGAGGTGACACTGAATGCCACTGCCTACACCCCCACGTCCCCAACTGAAAGCAACATCCCTTACTGTGCTGTTTTCTAAACATCGGGATGCTTCATGGTTGGATGGCTGTTCCCAGGGTAGTTGGCACTTTTCATTTTTCTCCCGTTCCTGCCCCGCCATCAAAAGGCTTGGACACCTCCGTCATCACTGATGAGTATGGAATGCTGGGTCCCTGCAGTCCAGAGCTATCTGCTCCTGCAAGAGGGAATGGCAGAAGGAAAGTGACTTTCAAACAGGAGCTGGGGTGGGGCTGGGGAAATGCACCTGGTCCCCTTGCCCACCCACTCCTGCTTCTACTCTACTCTGGGTTCATCAGTTCATGCCCTGTCCTGGAGGGGAATTTCCAACATAGTGACCTCCATGTGGCTAAAATGGCAGGGAGGGGTGCTAACATTTATTGAACATTTTCTTTGCATGAATCTCTCTCTCTGAGGGTATTCAGTTAGGTTTTCTCAATTCTGCAAGGTTGCTATTACGTTATGACCACTGTGCAGATGAGGAAACTGAGGCCAGGGAAGTTCATGCGGTCAGTCAATGGCAGCACTGGGGTGAGGCCGGCTGGTCTGATGCTGCATCTTGGTTGCACGATGCCTTTTATCTCATTTTCTGTGTGACAACCTCCCAGGACAGCACTATAGGCTGATCTGAGATTTAAGAGCAGATCTAAAGTCACCCCTACCTTCAGCTGATACTGAAAAGCCAGGGTCTTGGCCAAAAAGCTGGCCAGGAGGGCTGTGAGGCCAGGTGCACAGTGGGGCTCTGATATGCCTCCCCAGTCCCTTCAGGCCCTGTGACAAGGCTGAGGTCTCAGGCCATCTCTCTGGGGGTCTGAGGATGAGTCAGAGCCAGCCTGGGGCCCTGGCCTCCCAGTGGGTGAGCTGGAAGAATTTCACTGCATTGGGAACATTGTGTTTCCAGATATAGACTGACCACCTGCCTGGCCCCCTGGATCTCTGGGTGGCCTTCCCCAGACAGCAGTCAGGAGCCAGACCCCAAGGGGTGGGTCTGAGGGGCCTTTGGATGACTTCATCTATCCTCCCCCACCAAGTTAGTATTTCTGTCTGTTCTGTGAAGTCCTGGTAACTGAACAAGTCCTTTGGGTTCAGATTCCTTCTCCCGCTGAAAGCCGCATATTGCAGTAAATCCTTTTTGGCCAAGAAAAATGACAGATGGCCCAGGAGGAAGGGCATCAGGTGGTAAGAGACAGAGCAGCTAGAAGAGTCAGGGAGAGAAGATAAAAAAGAAATTGTGCAGCACTCCTTTCCTTCCACAAGGCTTGATGTGCCCTCACTGCCTCCCTGCAGGACAGGCCTGGGTGCCACGTGTGAGGGTCCACAGGCCAGGCCACCTCTTTTAGCCTCAGTTTCCCAGTTCACAGGGTGGAGGGGGAATACGTGTTTGGAACCAGTGACTTCCGGGGGCCCCATCCTATGGCCTGAAGGTGACATCTCACCCACCTGGGGGCCTGAGGCAAGCCTGATAGCTTCTACAGTCCTGCAGGCCCAAAAGCTAACCAAGCAGCAGAACCTTTGCAAATGTAGACTCTCAGGGCTTATCCTGCGGGGCCCCAGTCAGTGGATCTGGGGGGAGCCCAGGAGCCTTTAATTTAAAAAAATGTGCAGATGGGTCTGATATTCACGGTGGCATGGTATAGATCAAGGTCAGCTGTCCCCATTCAGTGACGCTTAGTCTTGGGTGCACATTAGAATCACCTGGAGAGCTATAGGAAAAAATCCCAATGCTCAGGCTACACCCCAGACCAATTATATCGTAACCTCTGAAGGTGAGGCCCAGACATCAGTAATATTTCAAGTTCCCGAGGCGGTTGCAATAAGCACTGAGATTGAGAACCATTGCTGTGGATGAGCCAAAAGGTGGAGGCAGCGTCCACCATCCATCCTTGCCTGCCCTCCTTCTGAAAGTGAAGGTTTCACCTTTGGAAACCCTGTCCTCCACCAAGACAGCTCAAAGCCCCTCCTCTAGCAGCTGATCCCTCTGATGGACAAGGCATTACGTGACAGGTTACAGAATCGGGGGCCTAGTCCTGGGACCCTGGGCAAGGCACCTGCCTTGCCTGAACCTCAGTTTCCTCAACTGTGAAAGGAGGGCACGGGTGTGTGGTTTTCAAAATGTGCTCAGAGCAGGTCTGGCTGTATTGGGCAGTACCTTGGGCAGGAGCACTGGACTCCGGGCCCCCATGCCCCTGGCCCTTGTTCTCCCAGAGCAGCTCTGATCTTAGCCTGTTATTGCTGAAGCCTCCTTGTGCTAAGATAAACACTTCAGGAGCTAAAAACAATTTGAAAACTGTTAGTCTAGATGATCTGCACTTTCATCCCAGCTCTGAAGGTCTGCAGAAACCCCACTCTCCCTTCTCCACATATTCTCATAATTCCTGTGGTCTGGAGCCTTCATTTGGCACCTACACCCTATAAATCCTGCTTTGATTTGCCTGGCACTGATGTGGTCCTGTATCTGGTTTATCTCCCCCACTAAGCTGTGAGTTCCTTGAAGGCAGGTCTTCATTCGTTTTATAAACACAGCATACATTTATTGAGCTCCTTCTGCCACCATGCTGGATGCTGGGGACACTGTGGTGAATGAGACTGACACAGCCCCTCCCTCATGGAGCAAAAAGTTAGTGGATGAGAAAGATTGAGTGAAGCAATTACAAAGTTACATGTGCTGTAATAGGGAAGCACAGGGTGCTATGGGGGCACGAGGGACAGCACCGAGGAAGACAGAGGGGGCAGGAAGCTTCCCAGGGACAGGGAAGGAGGCCGGCCTTGGCTGAGGGTGCTGCATCTGCAGTCCTGGAGGGTGAGGGAGGGGCCAAGGCCATAGACAGGGAACAGGCCCTTGAGCCCTGCCTGGTAAGGAGCAGCATTTTATCCTGGGCCCTGATGATGTAACTGTGGGGTGACCTGAACAGTTTTTCTAACCTGTGGAATCCTCCTCTGTGCCTCCCCCGCACCCCTTCTCCAGCACTGGTGCAGGAGTTGCATAGTAGTGGCTCAGGAGTCCGGGATGAGAGAGATGCATCTGGGGGTAGAGTAGGGGTGCACAGGTGTGGACGGATGAGGCGGCACCTTCACACGAATGGGTGCTCCTGGGCAGGGATGGGTGGTGTACGAATGTTGAATTGCGTTGGGTAGTAGGTGGGATGCCTGTTTGAAGCCTGTCCTGCTCCCCATCTAGGTTCTATGAACACCCTAGCCCACCTGACAGCCCTTTTCCTGGAGTCCAGCTCCCAACTTGGGATAGTTGGTGAAGACCCACTGTCTGCCTGTCCCCAGGCACTCAGAGGAAGGCTCTATCCCTCTTCTGTGGGCTCACAGGATCTCTGGGGCCACACTGCATGTAGTGGCTTGCCCTGTTGCCTGGCCCTCAGCTCAGGCCCTTGGAGTGCCTCTGCCCCGGCTGCTGCCCCTGCTGCTCCTCTTACCCTCCGTCCCTCTCTGCCCTCTTCCGGCCCAGTTTCTCAGCTACCTCAGTGCCTGTGACCGCCTGTTACGTCAGGGATATGAGGAAGGCCTGGTGGACGAGGCCATGGAGATGTTCCAGTTCTCCGAGAGCCAGGTCAGCAGGGCTTCCTGCCAGGACCCCAGGCAATGGAAGGGATGGGGGTGTACCCAGGAGCCTGGGTGCAGGGGCACACCAGTCTTCAGAGCCAGCCTGTGGGTCCGTCGGGAGATTGCCTGACTCCTCAGCTCTGGGGAGGAGATGGTCCAGGGTGCTACAGCAAGGACAAAGGAGAGAGGCACAGAGGGAGATCAGGAAGAGGTCAGAGGGGGACAGGAGGCAGAGAGCGGCAGGGGCTTTGCTTTGTTAGACTGAACCAACGCAGCCTCTATAACTGAACGCCCACTCTTTGTCAGACATCCAGATAGGAGCCATGGGCAGCATAAAGATGCATGACCTCTCTGCTTGGGGAGTGTGCCACCTATCCCAAGTGCATGCAGCTGTAGGCCCAATAGTCACATCTTGATTTCTGAGACTGAGTCTCACTCTGTCGCCCAGGCTGGAGTGCAATGGCGCGATCTTGGCCCTGCCTCCCAGGTTCAAGCAATTCTCCTGCCTCAGCCTCCCGAGTAACTGGGATTACAGGTGCCTGCCACCACACCCGGCTAATTTTTTTTGGTATTTTCAGTAGAGACGGAGTTTCACCATGTTGACCAGGCTGGTCTCAAACCCCTGACCTCAAGTGATCCACCTGCCTCGGCCTCCCAAAGTGCTGGGATTACAGGAGTGAGCCACCGCACCCGGCCCCAGTAGTCACTTCTGAGTGCCCCATGGCAGAGCAGCTCTTCACAGAGGCTGAAGGGGACAGAGAGTTGAGTGAGGCCCCGAGAAGGAGAGAGGGAGCAGAGGTGGGGAAGTTTCAAGCCCTGGGGTCGGAGGGGAAGGAAGGTGCAGGCTGCGCTGTGAGACCTCCGCAGTGTTCAGGGCATGGGCAGGGACCTTGGGCTGTTTGTGCTCCGGGTGCTGGTGTGCGGTCTGCCCCAGCAGAAAATTGACAGTGAGTGGGAGGAGAGTCAGGACAGCCCGTGGCCAGGCTAGGGCCTTGTTTTCTTGGCAGAGGAAGGGAGGTCGGAGCCTACATCACCCTAGAGATTCAGGAAAGTGGCAGCTGCGGCCCAGGATCAGGCTCAAGTGGCCTGGGGGGAGCCACAGCTTTTTGGGACTAGGAAAACCACAGCTTTTAAGCTGAGGCTCCCCTCGGCTGAGGCCAGGCCCAGCAGAGTCCCCAGCACCCTCCCTGTCTCCTCTTCCTCAGGCAGGGGAGTTCCTGCGCCTCTGGGAGCAGTTCAGCGACATGGGCTTCCAGCAGGACCGGATCAAGGAGGTGCTGCTGGTCCATGGCAACCGCCGAGAGCAAGCCCTGGAGGAGCTGGTGGCCTGTGCCCAGTGACCACGGAGGCACTCCACGATGCCTGGGCGTCCAGGCCCAGTGCCAGACCTGGCGACCCATCCTAACTGTATTATTAAAACCAAGCAAGAGTAACAAAGTGACGCATGCTTATTGTAAAAACACAAATAATGCCAAGGGTGACAGTTAACAGCAGCAGAATCTGCTGAAAGAGTTGAAATGGTTGCCTCTGCAGAGGGGCAGATGGGACAGCCGGACGGGGAGCTATGTTCTTCATGCATGCCTGTGAAACCACCTGATTTGACTCTTTACACTGTGTGCATTAGTAACCTTGATTTTAAGAAAATTAAAACCAATAAATAATGGGCAGTTCTTTTGAGTCCTGTAGGCGCCTGGTCTTGGTGTGGAAAGAACATCAAACTGTAGGTCAGAAGACCTCATTTCTGATTTTAGGTCTACTGATGTCTGGGTCAAGGCTTTGTTGGGCCTCAGTTTCCCTAGGAAAAGTAGAGAGATTTGACCAGGTCACAAGCTTCCAGGCCTGGCAGCTATCCATAAGAATCCTTCGGGTGTTTATTCAAGAGTCCCAGGCCCCACCCCCGTATATTCTGATTCAGGAAGCCTAGCTTGGCAGCACCCAGGAATCTGTTTTGTTTTATGTAAGAAGATCTTGGCCGGGCGCGGTGGCTCAAGCCTGTAATCCCAGCACTTTGGGAGGCCGAGACGGGCGGATCACGAGGTCAGGAGATCGAGACCATCCTGGCTAACACGGTGAAACCCCATCTCTACTAAAAAAAAATACAAAAAACTAGCCGGGCGAGGTGGCGGGCGCCTGTAGTCCCAGCTACTCGGGAGGCTGAGGCAGGGAGCTTGCAGTGAGCTGAGACCCGGCCACAGCACTCCAGCCTGGGCGACACAGCGAGACTCCGTCAAAAAAAAAAAAAAAAAGAAGATCTCTGGGGATTCTTTACTACATAACAGGCCTGTGGCCAGTGTGTGTGACTTTCAGCCAGTCTGGGTCCCCTTCTGCTCTGACAATTTGTGATCCTATGCCAGTCTTTCCTCATTTGTGGGGTGGGGAAGTTGTGACCAGAGTTGTCTCCAGTCACCCAAAGCCTATCCTTCAGAAGTCCCCAAGGATTGAAGAGACCAGTTGCTGGAGCAGCCCATAACTCAAACAAGCAGAGGCCAGGGGCCAAGACTCTGGTGCCTCTGCCTTCCCCAGCAGGCCCTGCGCAAAGACTTGCAACAATTACCCCAGAATCAAAACATCTCAGCCCCCTCCACCCTGCAAACAGGGCTGGACCTGGAACTGAGGCCTGTAAAAAAAAAATGAACAACTTCCACGTTTCTCAGGGCTTCAACCCCAGATACCTCATCTGAATGTGTAATGGCACTTCTGCAGGCCTACACACAACAAGCTTGGAACTAGAACCAGGTCTCCGGAGGCCCAATAGCCCCTCGGTGCTTTCCACTGTCTCAATGCCTGCCAACTTGAAATCACAATAAAAATATTCTTTGGCCTTAAAACTTGCCTTGAATAACTTGCAGGCAGCACAAAACTATTAGAGAAAATGGGCAGGATGTTGTGAAGTTGGACATACATCTGTCTGTTGCCAAAAGTAAAACTACACTTGAAAGAGACAGTAAAGTTCAATTTCTAAGATGCAATATTAGGTCCAAAGCTAATGTTCTGATTAAGGTAACCTGGCCTTGGTCTACCACTTTACTAAGTCCCCTTGATTAGAGGCAACCAGTTGACAGGCCCATCCATTATTCCTATCCTTCTCCCACATGCCCCAAATCTGTACATCCCTAGCAAACTGTTGCTTGATTAAAAATGTGACATCTGGCCAGGTGCGGTGACTCACCCATGTAATCCCAGCACTTTGGGAGGCCGAGGCGGGCAGATCACTTGAGACCAGGAGTTTGAGACCAGCTTGGCCAACATGACAAAACCCCGTCTCTACTAAAAATACAAAAATTTGCCAGGTGTAGTGGTGCACGCCTATAATCCCAGCTACTCGGGAGGCTGAGATGGGAGAATAGCTTGAACCTGGGAGGCGAAGGGTGCAGTGAGCCAAGATCATCCCACTGCACTCCAGCCTGGGCAACAGAGTGAGACCCTGTCTAGAAAATATATATATATATTTGGGAGACCGAGGCAGGTGAATCACCTGAGGTCAGGAGTTCGAGACAAGCCTGGTCAACATGGTAAAACCCCATCTCTACTAAAAATACAAAAATCAGCTGGGTTTGGTGGCATACGCCTGTAGTCCCAGCTACTCGGGAGGCAGAGGCAGGAGAATCACTTGAAGCCAGGAGGCAGAGGTTGCAGTGAGCCAAGATTGAGCCACTGCACTCCAGCCTGGCAACAGAGCGAGACTCTGTCTCAAAAAAAAAAAAAAAAAAAAAAGTCAGACATTAGAAGCAGGAAGGTTGCTTGAGCCCGTGAGTTTTAGGTTACAGTGAGCTGCCACAGTGCCACTGCACTCCATAGTGAGATTCTGTCTCCAAATAAAAGGACAGACATCAGTGAGCAAATTGTTCATTTAAAATATTTTTTAGGAGGTACAATAGTGTGGTAGTTAGGGGCACAAACTCTGAAGTCAGATGTGGGCTGAAACTACAGCCTTAGCACTAACCAGCTGTGTGACCTTTTGAACATCACACAGCCTCTCTGCCTCAATGTCTTATCCATAAAATATAGATACTGAAACTTCCCAATTGTGATGATTGAGCAGGATAGTGTGCAGGAAGATTGTGCCATGGTATCTAGTAGCTACTCATTTATACATATTTACACCCAGCCTCATTCCATCATCATTACCTTTACTATGATCATCCTCCTCATCACTGTTATGGTTAACAAATCTCCAGCATTTATCGTCAAACTCAGAAACCCTGGGAGAACCACTCTCTGCCTCTCAGGTCAGCAGGGTTAAAGAAGGTGCCTGGCTGGAGCAGAGGATTCTGGGAGTGCCACCTGGGAGAAGGACAATCTCTTCAGTTAATACTAAGGATCAGGTGGCTGCCTTGGTGGCTCCTTGAAACAGCAGCAGATGACACACTCCAGCATGATCTGGACAAGAGGATCCTTAGAGAGGAGGTCAGGAGGATGGCATGGTCCAGGTTCCAGGAGCAAACCAAGGCCTGGCCCATGTAAGCAGAATGAAGCTAATTCTGCCCGGTTCTTGCTCTCCCTCCTGTCCGCTTATGCTTTGTCTCCTCTTCTGGGTCCCCACCATGTTCCCCGCAGAGGCCCAGTGGAGCAGGCTGAAGGTGGCCTTTTGACTCTGACAGGAGGCCTATCTCCTAACCCATTCGGCCTGAGATCTCAAGGCCTTTACGTGTTCCCTTCCTGGGGAAATGTGCACAGTGCCCTCTATCTGGTTGACTTTCTGCCTCCTTCTTAGAAGGACCCTCGTGATTCCATTGGGCCCACCCATATAATCCAGGACAATCTCCCACCTCAAGATCCTTAATCACAGCCAGGCGTGGTGGCTCATATCTGTAATCCCAGCACTTTGGGAGGCCGAGATGGGTGGATCACTTGAGGTCAGGAGTTCGAGACCAGCCTGGCCAACATGGTGAAACCCAGTCTCTACTAAAAATACAAAGATTAGCCAGGCATTGTGGCGCATGCCTGTAATCCCAACTACTTGGGAGGGTGAGGCAGGAGAATTGTGGAGGTTGCAGTGAGCTGAGATCATAGCACTGCACTCCAGCCTGGGCGACAGTGAGACTCCACCTCAAAAAAAAAAAAAAAATCCTTAATCACACCTGCAAAGTCCAGGTAACAGATTCACAGGTTCTAGGAATGAGGACGTGGATGTCTTTGGGGGACCATTATTTGGCCTACCACAGAGAGGCACTGCTTAACCCAAAATAATACATGTGTAATGGTGGCATTTCAGGTACTTGTATCGGGGGGTTTCCTTGTATCTTGTATTTGTATTATGCAAGGCTGGGCCCCCAGGCAGGCTCCAGCACACACAGCTGCCGCTGATCCTCTCTCACCTCTGCTCTCTTGCTTCATCTCAAGTCAACCTTCCGCAGCTGATGACATTCTTCTGGCATTGGAGCAGCGCCAGCTGAGGGGCTGCCAGCACCTCCTCTCGGCCCTGACCCTTTCACTCTGCGGGGAGGGAACACACTCGCAGGTCACTGTTGGCCTCCAAGGATCAACTGAAGTCAGGAGCCGCTTCCCTCTTCTGGGACCCTCCTGCCCTCTCAGCCCCTTCCTTCCACTCTCCGTCCCCCACGCTGCCCAGGCTGCCTCTAGCTGCCCTGTCCTCCTGTCTTATCTAGAGAGTAAAGAATTCCTTTGTTGACCTCTGCAGGGAACACTCTTTGCCTTCTGAGAACTTAGGGGACGAGGCAATGCTTATTTCAGGATAACGGCTCATAAATGATAGGGTTTTAGGTACAGTGCAAGCTGTTAAAGGGAAGGCGTGACCCTCACAGTTCTCCTCAAATGACCATTCTGTCTCTACGCAGGACTCACCCTGAGAGGAACGTGGGGCTTTAGGAAGCTCAGGGAAGGATCTTTCCTAATGAGGGTTTGGGGAGGCTTCCAGAGTCCTTCTCTCAGTATGGGACCTCCTGGGGGGCTCCTCTGCTCACCCTCAGATCCCAAGGGCCAGGTCTTTAATCCTAGCGATGCTGGGGTCAGAAAAGTGCAGAGACAATCAGGAGTCTCCCAGAAACACACTCTCTGTCACACACACACTTTGACCTCGGGGAGTGAAACTCTTCCACACTATCAGGAGGAAGTTGATGGTATGTGTGTCTTCACACTGGGCACAAAGGTGATCCTGGGCAGGGCAAAAACTGCCCAGCCCTACCCACCTCCTCAGCCCCACATGGGGCCCTCTGAGGAGAGAAGACGCTGCCCTGAGTTCCAGGTGCTACAGCCCAGGTGATGAGCCAAAACTCCCACCAGAGAACCCTTCATTTCCTAATTCTGTCACCCCACAAACCTTTACTGCACACCATGCCAGCTGGTGCTAGGCCTGCTGGGCCCAGAAGTGGGGGAAGGCGGGATGAAGGATGGGAAATGGCCTCTGCCCTGGAGGGAGGGGGTTCCCAGGGCGAGGCTGCCAGGTTTGCGTGGCAGCTGGCTGAGAGGTCAGTGACACAGTGAAGGCAGAGGGACAGGCAGGCTTTGGCCCCGCAAGGGCCTCTGGAGCTCGCGCACAGCCAAGTCCCTCTGTGGAGTCAGGTCCTGGCCAGGCATCCTACTGGCTTCACACTCAGCCCAGTGGTGGGGCACCCACCCCTACTCCAGCCTCCTACGCTCCTGGTGGGGGGCCCTCCCTCCTGCCCATTCTACTCCTGAACCTGTCCTTATAAGGCCACCCGCTCAG